AACAAAGAAAAGAAGCATTCAAAATTGCAGTTAACAACCTCAAACTCAACACTCCCTATAGATATGCATTTAAAAAAGAAAGGAACTCAAGTTCAGTGTTTGATGTTGAATCCGTCCCAGATAATGTGTTTGAACATTTCAACAAAATGTTCAATACTGATCTAGGATCTACCAAACTAAACCTACAAAACTATCAATCCATAGATTCCCTTAATGGGTTCAAAATCCCACCTGCCTGTGTAAGTTCTCTCTCCAATATTATTGGAAAGATGAAACATACAATGCCCGGATGGGACAAAATCCCAATGTTGGTATTTAAGAGCATGAATGATGAGGCATTAGACATAGTCTGCCAAGCTTTCAACAAGATCCTTGTGGATGGAAATCCCATTCCGTCCTCTTGGAAAGAGGGGTTATTACTTCCCTTACCTAAAACCAATTGCCCTAAACGTCTATCAGATTTTAGACCTATAGTAGTTCTACCAATTATTTACAGAATTTTTTCTTCGTACGTCAATTACCACCTCATGGAAAGGGTGGAAAAGGATAATTTAATTCATCCAGCCCAAAGAGGCTTCAGAAGACTAGCATCCACGACAGACCAGCTCGTGATAGTGAAATCAGTCGTTGCCAACTACAGGCACAAAAAGAAACCTTTATTTATGTGCACCCTTGATATTAAAAATGCATATGGCAGCGTTGTCCATAGCAAACTGAAAGAAATCTTGAAATATCAAGGTTTCAATCAATCAGTATGCGATTTAATCATGAATATGATTAGTGAACATTCTGTGAAAGTGTTTGCTAATGGTTCCACATCACCGGCGTTTGATGCTACTTTTGGAGTCCCACAAGGAGACCCATTGAGTCCACTTGTGTTCAATATTTATTTCAATGCCATCACGAGTATCGTTGATGGCTTTAAAGGAGTCTCTCTATTAGGAGACAAAATTGTAATGTTGTTGTATGCAGATGACATCATTGTCCTTTCAGAATCATCCAACGAAATGACAAACATCCTCCACAAACTCAACTCAACTGCCAACCAATTAGGCATGCACTTTGCTACTCATAAATGCAAAGTATTTGGTGTCACTGCATCTGGTAAAAAGTCTACCGCCAAAGTATTCCTTAATAACGTCAATATCAACAACCCTAAAGATACCCTCGAATATCTTGGTTCCAGACTTCTTAATAACCTGAAATGGTCGCCCTCTCAAGATAAATTGATAGATAAGATTAACTCCCGACTTAATAATTTCAGACCCAGACATCTCAGACTCAATACAGTTAGAACTGTATTGTTATCAAAGGTACTTTCCGTACCCAGATACCTCTCCAGTGTAGATGCTGTCTCTCAATCCACTTTACAGAGTTTAGAAACTAAAATTAGTGTAACAATTAAATCCAAAATAGGATGCAACCTCAAACTATCCAAGGCTATCATCTATGGTGATGTACAGCAAGGAGGAATGGGGCTGATGTCTCCTGTAGACATCTCTAGCGTTGAGAGAATGGCAGCTGTATGCAGATTTGTTAATTCTACATCTCCCTTAACCAGAAATATAGCTAGAAACATGATGAAACAACCCAACAATGATGCAACAGATTCTTTATGGAAACAAACTAGTATTACTATGAAAGAATTGAATTTATACTTCAAATCCACCGAAAGTGGATGGGTGTTGTGCCACCGCAATAGTCACAAACCTGTCCAAAACATCAGACAACTCGTTCTAAACAATGAACGTAAAAAAAAAGAAATAACAATAATGGGCCAACTTGACAACGAGTTCAACTGGCACCACTGTGTGTTGTCTCTTTGGAGAAACCACCAACTCTCGTACTACCAACAACGTCTACTATTTTACAACCTACACCATGCCATATATCTAGGCATTAATAGTGAATGTGACATATGTCACAAGGAAGAAACCTGGACCCATGTCTTCCAATCCTGTCCAAAATGCTTACCTGAAAAGCAAGAACTATATGCCACTTGGGACGATATCTCTCATAAATACAACCTAAGCAAGATCCGTTTCCCACCTGAATCTTCCATTCCAAATTGCCTTAACATTGAATATGACGGTCGATGCACAAAGCATAATTGGTCCATTTGGGCCAATCACAAACGACTCCCCAAGGCTGTGGCCCTAGATATCTACAAAGCTCTCGCAGTATATGTTAGTAACTGCTACAAAAATTCATCATGGTACAATCGTCCCACCGACTCCTTCATCAAAAACAAAAAATACACTTCTGCTTACCAAAGGCAACAGCTGTCCCAACCACTTAGCCCGAACCAAACTCGTCCAAACACTGAACAGAACTAGATGGTTGAACAGCTAGTCTCTAAGGTCGTTATGATAAAAGAGACTATAATAAAATTACAATTTATTATTTCTTCAATATATATTTATTGAGAAATAATGTTAAGGTTGAAAGTTGAAATTGTGAACTTTGATGAAACCTGAAATTCGTTTACAATCTTGAATAAAGTTGTGAGGATTAAGTAAATGATTGTGGTAAATAAAGTCAATTTCCTTACTTGGGGAGGAAACTTCCTTGATTTTGAGAAATTCATGATATTTGTGAATGGTTTCCAATAAAATTCGTTCATCTTGCAATAATTTCTCTCCAACTTGAGAAAGCTCAAAAATATGTTCTCTCAGAAATTCAATTCCATTGAAAGCTTTTTTGAAAGTTGACGATGAATTCCACTTCATTTTCTTTCCCACAGTAAGTGAGTCAATTAAATTATTATAAAAATCGGCTCTGTAATTTTTTGGATAAAATTTGGAAGGCATTTCAATGGAACTATTTCTAGTTTCTAATAATCTTGAAATTGTAACATTTGGTGTTGGAGTAGTGATGGTGTTTGTGTAGAATGAATCCAATAGTAGGAGATGAAGTCCAATTAATACATCCTTTCCAAGTGAATAATCGTAAAGTGGATGCTTTCTAGTGATGAATCGATCTGCCTTGGTTCTCATGTTATCCAAATAGAAAGCAATAGTGTTGGCCTGATTATCATTAGTTACCAATGGAGAGAGCTCGGCAGTAATTTCTTTGAGTAATAGCAAGTAATTTTTCAATTCTGTTCGGAAATTAATTGAAAATCCTAATGGTCTATTTGGAAAATCAATAGGAATGGCAATAATCTCCAAAATATCATTATCACTTGCCATTTTTACAATTCCAGTAATCTCTGCAACATCCTTAATTATATATGTGTTAGTAATCACTATATTCTTTGAAATATTTGATAATCTCTTGTAGAGAATATGATTTTCTGAAAGATTGAAAAATTGTAATGGATTCAATTTCAATAAAGAAAATAATTTGTTAGAATCATTAAAAATAATTTTTCTAATATGCTCCTCACAAATTTCCAAATGATAAATGCCACTCGAAATGTAAATCTCAATCCAAGTCATATTTCTATAAATTGCTTTCAAATTGTCAATTGAAAGGTTAGAATAACCAATGGATTTTCTAATTCTTTTAATCACGACACGTGACACAAAATCCTCATCAAATAATATCAAATTAATCCAATCTTTACAAGTTCTCAAACACGATTCAACAATTGTTTTCGTATCCAAAAATTCAAATACACTAATCATTACATGATTTGTGTAAAATTCCTTATTTCGTCCCATTTGATAATGACGATTTATCAACACACGAATCAGACACCACCACCAACTTTTGTCCAACATTAATCTCAACCTCTTTCCGAATTGTTTCCAAATCATAATACAAATAATCAATTTTTACACTCTTTACAGGAAATTTCACAAATCTCCTACAAACAAAATACATCTCCAAAGGTATCAGTGTATACTGATGTATCGGAAAAGACATTCCAATTACAAACTTGGTCAATTCCTTCTTTACATTTGTTTCATCATTGGTATCTCCATTCAAGGCAAAGAAATTATCGGAAAGTATCTTTTTCAATAGAACACCTTCATTATATTTAACTTGGTTTTTCTGTTGCTCGTGTTTGTGTTGTTGATGGACAAAGTCCAAGTCGTAACCTGCTGATGTGCATGGCATTTTTTGATTTTCAAATATTAGATAATATAAATACAGGAATACTTGGTAAATTAAACATTTGATGATGTTTAATATTTATTTAAATAATAATATAATCAAAGTCATGTTGAGATACATGAACCTTTTCCTAGCTCTATAAGTTGGAAAATTGATTAGAGAAAGTTCTCCTACTATTGACCATTCCGAACATTGAAAGTTTTCCAGCAGTGATGATGAATTTAACTTTTCAAAAAAATTAAATTACTAATATTGATAAACACTATTATAATAATGATGAAAAACAAAATCGGAGTGATTGGAATTGATGTATTTTGATGAACTACATCCAAATAACATAACAAAAAAATGCCGTGCAGATGTGATGTTGATTTCTCTACTTACAAATATTACCCATCGAGTAAGATCTTGGAAATGGATGTTCAGAATGGTCTTGCTTTGATTCTCGGATTGCATCATGAAAATACCTCTGTGATGGCTGGCAGTGAGGAAATTGTGCAAGCCATGCAAATGAAAGAGAGATTGGGAGTTTATAAGAGTATTGCAGATAATCAAGAATTATTGAGAAGAGTATTCTTGTTAAATAGCTTAGGAGCAAATCCACTTCAGATGAGTTTTATTCCTCGTCTTGATGATAATTTCCATCCGAGATATTTTGATAATTCTAGAGGAGCTGTTACTAACGTAGATCAGTGTCAGCAAGCAATTACGGTCAATAATGGACTGAGTAGAAATGATCAACTATTGCTCGATAATGCAAAGAATGAGACTGAAAGAAGTTCAGTGTTATATGGTAAATTTGGAAAAATGACCATTAACTTGAATTCCATCATTAATGGAGTTGGTGGTCTTAATGGTCTCTCCACTCCATTTGATTCTCCAGAGTATGAAAATGATATTCCTAAGGCTGAAAGAGATGCATACTTTCACCAGCTTTTGATTAGCTCATTAATTAACAATTTCACTGTACCCTGTTCGAAATTACCAAAGGATACTCTTCAAAGTCCTTCCACACAAAGAGGTTGTAAATTATTGGAGAATAAGGACGTAATTGCAACCATATTTGAGTTTATTGACACTTTGACCTTGGTCAACACTGTAGCATCAGTTTGTCCTCTTTTCCATGAACTGCTCATTTATGATCAAGAAACAGGAGATCAAATTTATGGAGGAAGAATTTTTAATTTTTGTAAATTGCATAATTTGAAAGTAGAATATCAAGATATTTTACAATTCAAGGAATTCCATCATTGCAACTCTTGGCTAGAGTTTTACTTGTTGAGTGGAATGATTTTTTTAGAAAATTTCAAACAAGAGATATCTCAAGTTTTTGAGTTATCCCAAAAAACTAGTGGCGATTTTCGATTTATTGGGTATCAAATGCTATACTTGATTTTGGATCCAAAAATACTGGTAACCAATGAAGCTATACTACAATTGATCAATCAAAAAAGAAAGAAAATTATTGCAATTGGATCTGCTTCTATGTATGCAACTGTTACCAACAAGATTGAAAACCTCTCTTCCCCTGAATCTGTAATTCGTTCTATTGTTTCTGCTCCACTGATTAGTTGTAATAGAAGCGAGTTTTCTGTTAATTTCGAAAAAGGAATTCCAATATATTTGGAATATTTGAGTGTATTAGCTACTAAGTTGAAAAACATTAATCTCCTTCATAGTTTGGATCCACGCTCAATGAGAGAATTGCAATATGTAATTGAAAAAATGGCAGAGAAAGCAAAATACTTTATTGAACAATCCTTAAATCATTCTTTCGATATAGTTTCGGACGATGTTATGTTGGGGCTACATTTTGTTTTGTTGGATAACTATTACAATACGTTTTCGTCCATTGAAAATATTCCTCACCTTGATTTTACCAAATTATTGAAAAATAGAATTAACCCTCAGTCTAATCATAGAATATGCAAATTCCCTAACGACTTGTCAACTGACTTCTTTGCCTTATTAATAAGTGCGAATATTATTATTCCTTCCAGTCATCAATCAGATCCAAATAGCATATTCAGGTCAAATCCATTTGAAAACATTTCATGGGAAAAGACAATCATGAATGTTCAATCCTTCATAAGGGAACATATTATTGAACTTTCTACTGCTTCCTTTTCCAACAGCTCTGTAACGAAATATGTTGAATTTTTAAGGGATTGGCAAGACGAAAGACCTACACAACAAGTGGATCTATTATATCACTTCCACATGCTCCATTGCATTCAATATTATCAAGATGTTATGAGTATTGCACAAGGTCTAAAGTTCCACAGACTTTTCGAACCAGAGGTAAATGCCAGTCCATTTTTTTTGGACCTTTGAATAAACTTATTCTTCCTGAAAAATAAATGATAAATCACTTGGAAATTTAGCTAATAAATTCCTAAATTTGGTTGGGTCTTCGTTTCTTGTTACAAGTATGAGTCCAATATCATCAGTTGAGGCTATCTGAATATTAAAGTTTGCTCTATTCGAAAGATATTTCTTTCTGTCAATGTAAGAGAGATAATTTTCCAACTCAATCTTGACAATAGTCAACGAACTATCCTTTTCCACATAAATATCGCCAGTGGTAGAGAGGGCCATCATTCTTCTTCTCAACGCTATCGAATCAAAGCAAACTCCATTTAAAAGAGGTATCGTTGCATGATCATCTAAAGCAACCAGTTGTCCACTCTCTTGTAATCCAAATAAATAACTAACCATCTTGTATTTGCTTTGATTTAACCCAATATCAAAAGCTTTCCCATCTCTAGTTGTAAAGAATAATTGTGACCTTCTAAAGAAAAGATTAGTAAATTCAGTGAATTGAAATTGTGCTAAAAGCATTCTGTGTAAGTAGTTGTTATGATTAGATATACCTTCTATCATCCCAGTAAAATAGAGATATTTAGTATTCAAATTATCCACTGTTAGAATTGCTACTTTAGTGCTGGTACATTTCACATCCAAAACTGTTTCGTTTTGTGGTGGAAACGATAGCTCCATGTTTGAATCTGAATCAAAATAAAATACTCTATTCAAATTACAGAATAAATTCTGAACAATATTCATTTTCGAACCTTGTGCACAAGCATTATTTCTATTACATCCTGAAGAATACATGGCAAATTGTCCACTTTCCTTCACTAAACAATATGTAAAGGCATCTCCACAATAAATATCACAAATATTCTCCAATATAACTTTTTCCAATTGCTGCTCACAACCAACCTTTCCATTCATTAATTGTGAATATTCATTTGAACCATTTCCATAAGCTGTTCCATTATTCAACAAGAAAAACAAATGTTGTCTTCCACCAACAATCTTCCGAATACCAATCCTCTCAATTTCCATCCTAATCACCTCTGATTCAAACAAAAAAGGCTTTAATTTGTTCAAACTCCTTCCAATATTCGGATCATGTTTATAAATATTTGTTGATGAAGAAATTCGCACCGTTCCCAGCAATAACAAGTAAAATGACGAAGCCGAGTGATAATGCTTTTTCGGAGGAGTATTTGTTGGTGGCTGATGATGAGGGAAGAGTTTGAGCATTTTTTTTAATTTAAAATTAATTTAATTTTAAATTACATTTTTGGCGCCAAGTAAAAAAACAAAGAAGTTTTTTTGTAATCTATTTCCATCTTTCTAGTTAAGAGGTGTTATGCTTATCTTATGTCTCAAATCATCAAAAACGAAATTCAAAAAAAACGCCAGCTGTCAGTGATCTGCCAATCTCATTGACAATGAAGGGTCCATCAACAATATTATTCTTGTTTGTTTTCTTCTTCGTACAACATTTTTCTTCTTCACATCAACAAGTTACACCATCAAATTTAAATAGTAATAATTTAAACATACCACAGAGGACATTTAAGAATATTAACACCGACAATTTATTCTTCAAAACTGTTCATTTACTTCCGCATAGTCATTGGGATGTTGGTTGGTTGAAAACTAAACAAGATTACTATCAAGAAGATGTAAAGCCAATTATTCGTGCGGTTCTTAAAGCTCTTTCGCAAGATTCGAATAGAAAATTTACTTTCGTCGAAATGAGTTTTATTGAATATTTCTTTCTACATGATGCCTCCAAAAAAGAACGTCAACAATTTATCAAATTATTGAAAAATTCACAGATAGAATTAAGTTTAGCAGGAATGACAATGTCAGACGAAGCTTCGAATACCTATTCGTCTATTATTCACACATTGACAAGAGGTCATCAATTTGTGAATGAATATTTAAACGAAAGAGAGTTTAATTTCCTTCCTACGAATGCCTTTCGTATCGATCCTTTTGGAAGTACTTCAACCATGACCAGACTTTATAAGGAAAGTGGACTAATTGACCAAATTGTAATGAGAACTCCACATTCATTGCAACAGAAATTGAGATATGAAAAGAAGTTAGCCTTCTTCTGGAAACAGACTGATGGCACAGTTTCCTATTCACAAATTTTGGATTATCAATATTGCATATCTCTATTCTTTGACGATTCTAGTCAATTTAGTATTGCACCACCAGAGATTTCAGCTCAGATGCTACATGAACAGATTGTAAAGTATTCGCTTGGATTTAGAAATGTCAGTGAGTCAAGAAAGTGGAAAGAAAATGGGGAATTCGTTGAGGAGATTAGAATGGGAAGTCAAGATATTCTAATTCCTGCTGGTTGTGATTTTACTTTCATGGATGCTTCTATTAGGTTTAGAAGGATAGAGAATGCGATGCAATATATCAATGAAAATCCTCAAATATATCCTTACAAGGTTAAATTTTCAACTTTGGGAGAATTTTTCAAAGAAAGTAAACCAAAGGAATGGAAAGATCATTATGCTCAATTGAAAAATCCAAAGAATTTGAAATTCTCTCCAATATTTGATAGAGAGTTCATGCCTTATTCAGATAATGATGAATCTTTCTGGACTGGATTCTTCACTTCCTATCCAATTTTGAAACAGTCAATTAGAAAAGGAGAAGCTCAGTACAGAAATGTAAAAACACTTCTTGCATTGAGTGCTCCTTTGAGAAATTATTCAATTGGTGAGGATTTGAAAATCCTTGATGAACTTTCTGTGACCATTGCTGATTTGACTCATCACGATGCAATTACAGGAACATCGAGGAGTTTTGTAAATGTGGAGTATTTGAGATTGTTGGAGAATGCTGTGAACAAGTCAATGATTGTTGCTTCGCATTCACTTTCGTATTTAATGAAGACTAATGATTTGAGTAATGTGAAATGTTCTGTCGAAGAGGTGATTGGAAACATGAAGGGAAGTTTGGTTGTTTTTAATAGCTTGGCTTGGAAATTAACGAATTATGTTATTGAGATATCAGGTGTTGTCACTAGTCAAGTTGAAAGACTTTGCTTTTTTGACAAGAATAGAAACAGATTGTCAACTCAATACGTACCATCCTTGAATAAGAAAGAAGCTTATGATATTCACGTTTTAATTCCAATAATTCCTCCACTTGGATATACAACCATTTCGGTTGAAAGTTGTACAGTGTCTTTGAATTCAATTTCAGCCTTTGACAATTTTACTTCCAACAATTCCAAAACTTCTGTTTCATTCTGTGAGACTGGAAAGGGCACCACATTGTGTTCCTACACAAAGAATTCTCAAAACTATGAATTTTCACATCACTTGATGAGATATTTTGGATTTAAGACAACTAGTTTTGAAGAACAAAACAGTGGAGCCTATATTTTCCGTCCTCAAAGTCCAACTCCTGAATTATTGGAACAAGAAGAATCTTCGAGAAAGCTCCGAGTTCACTCTATGCAAGATTCGAATATGCAAATTTTCACACAAGTGGAGCAACGAATTAATAATTATGCAACCACATTTGTTAGGTTATACAATCCAGAAATTGCTTCATCACAAGGCTTTGATCTGGAATACCTTTTCAAAGTTGGAGAGCTTCCAGAGAATGAGGAAATTATTGTAAGATTCAATGCTTCCAGTTTCATCACTTCTAATGGAGAGTTCTATTGTGATAAGAATGGATTGGAAACTAGTAAATTCAGATCTAGAAAGAGTCCACAAAGTTCCTACTTGCCAATAGTTTACAATTGTTTCATCAGAGATAGACACCGACAAACAAGAGTCACCTTCTTTGTTTCAGAAACTCATGGAGCTGCAAGTCTTCACAATGGAGAATTTGAAATCATGTTGCACAGAAGAACCAATCATGATGATAATAGAGGTGTTGCAGAAAATCTGAGAGATGCTTCGACTGTCGTAGTAAATGTGAAAGTGAGAATAGATCAAGATCGATCCTGGGATGAAGAAAATGTGAGAAGAGGAATTCTACATGCAAGAGAATCTCTCACCAATCATTTTAAACCTTTGATTGTGCCAATAGTTGCTGATAAGTTAGGAGAAGGAAACTTGGAATTTAGTGGAATAGCTCAAGAATCAAAATGTATTCACTTGTCAAATTTTGAAATGAGAAAGTACAAGTCTTCCAAACCTCATCTATTGCTTCAGCTTCAACATTTAGGATTAACCAATTGTGAAATCAAGAATGAGGAATATCCTGTCAATTTAGAGAAAATGTTCAGTAATGGATTGTTGAGAGGATCTTCATTGAATGAAACAAACTTGTCTGGTTCAAGACAACTCTCCAATATTATTTCAGATTCATCTAGCGTATATCTCGCTCCCTATTCATTCAGAACTTTCATAGTTGAACCAACAAAACAGTACGGCTCCTTACTACCAGATAAAGAGTATGATGGAAGGGTTGAACAAAAGGAGGATTCATTCTGGGACAAGCTCTATCTCACCCTTAAAATCTTATTCAGCATCATTCTATTATCATTCCTGCCAATAATATGGGTTGTGTTTCACATAACAAATCAGCAGCCATAACTACAATAAACTCGAATTATTTGCATGTTTGAATGGGTCAGTTATTGTGGAAGCTGTTCCTTATATCGTTTCGTTTATGTTTCTAATTGCCAATATGAGAAGTTTACAACTTGGTGAAATGGATCAATATGGTCTAATATTTGACTTGCTGTCACCATATAAGATTTCAAGACTGATTAGGTATTGGAATGTTGATTGAAGACCGTTTCGTTCCCAATCTTGTTTTGTCCAAACAGAAAAAATTCAACGTTCTTCACAATGGTTCTCTTCAAGGTTTCGAATATATTATTAATTATTTTCGGTGCCTTTCTCATTCTCTCTCACTTTGCCACCATGGTTGCATGGTTTGTCTACGGAATGCTCCCTTACGGAGTCTTCAATATTTTCCTTCTCTTTGCTGATATTTTCATCGTGTTGGTGGGAATTTTAGGAATATTACTTTCTATTGGAAAGGTGGCGAACGAGAAATTGTGGTCTCTCTTCCATGGAGGAGCCAGTCTCTTTGGTGTGCCAGCCATTTGCTTTATGCTCTTCCTTCAATGGACCACTGAATTCTCAGCCCATAACATCTTCATCTTCCTCCTCACTATCGGATCCACAACTGTAACAACAACAACACAGGCTCAAGCATTGACTTATATTAATCCAAGTTTTGCTGTAATTTTCAATCTAGTCTTGTTGGGTCTTGCTGTTTTCAATGGATTTACTGCTGTTGGGCATTTGAAGGAAATTATGCCTGAAGTGTTTGGTTCATCATCAAAGAGTTCGGGAGCAAATGTTTAAAATAAATATTAATATATGTTTGCTTCGGATGATGAGGTTGGCTATGTTTTAAAGATGTTGGTGTAAAATAATTCCATTAATATTTTGTTGTTTGTCGAGATTTGTTGATACTCATCAAAATATGATGTGAATTGAAGAAAAATTATGATGATTTTGTTGGAGTAAAAGATTTGGATGATTTTTTTGTTTTAAAAAAAACGAGATAAAAAATATTCAGCAAACAATTCTATGCAGGCATGATGGTTCTCGGAGTGGGTTTACGTGATGAAAGCACCAAACTTTCACATCATCATCTCAACATCATCTAAATAGTAGTAATAATAGTAGTTTTTATTGGTGGATTATCATCATGAAATTGGAATTTATTTTTCATGATGGGAAATTACAAGCTGGTGTTGTCATCATCCTATCATTCACCAACATCATCATAATTGTTTTTCATCAATATTATAATAGTATTTGTGGAAATTAATTTTTAGTAATTTTATTTTGATGAAATATCAAAATTTTCACTAAATTCATCATCACTGTTGGATCTACTGAACAAGTTGGAAAACTGTCAATGTAGTATTGTTCGGAATGGTCAATAGTAGGTATGGGAATTTCTCTTAGCAATTTTGGTCAAGTTATGATAGAGATAGGTACATGTAAATTTTGCAAAAGTACATGGACCATAACTAAACATGTACTTCACCAACTCTAATCATGTCTTAATACTACTATTTAAATAGATAATAAACATCATATTGATTATCATATTTTCATTATTTTGTCAATTTACCAAGTTCCGATATTTCATCAGTCAGTGGATTCATAGCCCAATTTCAAATCAAACAACAATAAAACAACAATTCATATTGTTTAACTTCAATAATAAATACAATTACAATTTATTATTCGTAAAAAACAATATCAATGCAGAATATAATATCACACTATGTGCCATTTGAATATCTATTGTATCCATTTCAACATATAGAGTTCCCTTCATCTTTTTCAAAGCAAATTCACGAGCTGTTTTACTACAATTCTCATCCTCCAAAAGATCTTTCTTATTTCCAATCAATATTGTTTCACATTCTGTTTTCATCATTTTCAAATATTCTTCTACTTTTGGAAATGAACTTGTGAAATAAGTTCCAAAATCAAACATGAAGATTTGCAAATTAATCTTTGCACTATAAAGAGAAATTGTTTCAGCTTTCATTATTCCTGTAATTTCCCACATTTTCAAAACAACTTTCTCTTTCAACTTGTACGAAAGTTCAGTATATGTTGGAAATCCACTTGCAATAGTTCTATCAGTACCTGGTCTATTCCTCAAAATACAATTGTCTATTAAAGATGACTTTCCAACAGCTGAATCACCAAGCATAATACACTTAAACGATTGTTCTCTTTCTTTTGAACTAGCAACAACAGTTGATTTTTCTTGAGAATTTTCTTTTTTAAAAAGTGAAGTGAATTTGCTAAATATTGAAGTTTTGCTTTGATTTGTTTCCATACGTTCTTTTGGTTCAGCACCTTTGAAATATGTAAAAAACTGACAAGTCACTTCGAATTCAGACATCAATTCATGATCATCAGCCAGAACTGAACTGAAATCCTTATCTTTCGGCTTGATATCTGAATTCGCATCAGCAATTTTGCACAATTCCTTATTTGCTTTCACTAATGTCTTTGCCAATTCAAAAACATGTTCTCTCATAATTTTTCTGATAATTATTCTTCCAAACTTGTTGGTAAATATTTGGGAATATTCATTGAATCCGTTCAATTGCAAAGTTTTAATTTCTTCCAGAGTTTCATCTGTGGCCAACAGCGAAATTTCTTGAAGAAAATTGATGGAAAGACTAGGAAAGGCAGCCTCCCGAAATTGTTTGCAAACATTTGAAGCACAAAATAACAATTCGACAAGTGGCAAATAGGCAAGAATAGTTTCGATTATTTCAAGTGGAAGAATCTCTACAATATGCTGCATTTTTTTCCAACATAAATGAACGAATCAAAATCGCTTATTTTCACAAAAGGAAGTCATCAACACACATTCTAATACCCGTTTCGAATAGCAATTTTTTAACACTTTACAACAATGCAAGATATTTTCATCAACTCTGCAATTGGGCAGATCCACCAATAACATCTATTGTAAAAGTAAATCTCGATGCGCATCTATTGCCATATTTGAATATTTAAAAATCCTATTGGTCCTTCCAGCCCACAATGTCATTACGATCTTTCAATGTTGTGCATGAAACGTAAAATGTTAAAACCAAATGCACAGAATATTGGTTGCTTGAAAGGCTTGATGACTATTCGAAAGGGGTGTGATCCGTATGTCGCAATGAAAGCGTGGTTACGATTAGCACAAAAAAATGACGAAACATGTTGGTGTGAGGAGTTTAGTATTGTTGTTTCTAATAGTTGTGAATTTGTGTTTCGTATTGTCGATTCAACCTTCGTATACTGTGAAACATATTAGTTTGGTAGGGTTTAATCAACCTGAAGGAATTGCTTTGGGAAATAGTGGTGAAATTTACGTTTCAGATACGAAAAATCATTTAGTAAAACGAATAGATTCGAATAGTGGGGCAATAACAATTGTGGCTGGAACTGGAGCTTTTGGATCTGATACTAATACGAATGCAACATCTGCCAAGCTTTATTCTCCCAGTGGTTTAGCTGTCACAATTGATGGCAAATTATTGATTGCTGACACTTCGAATCATGCTATTAGAGAAGTCAGCAATGGAATAATTAGGACAATAGCTGGAACGGTTGGAATATCTGGTACTACCAAAGATAATGTTAATGCCACATCCACTAACATTTTCAGTCCAAAATATATTTCCACACTTTCGAATGGTGACATTTACTTTAGTGAATTTCTTAAAATTAGAAAAGTTTCATCGGGAATAATTACAACACAGCCAATAGCAGCCACTCAACCAAATGGATTAGCAGTCTTTTCCTCAACTGAAATGTTTATATCCGAAACTGACTTGCATAGACTATCCAGGAATGTATCTGGTACTTCTACAACCATAGGAGGTGTAACTGCAGATTATATTGATGGAAACACAACAATTGCAAAATTTAATTCACCAACTGGTGTTGCTTATGGACCTAGTAAGGAAATTTACATTGCCGACAAAATGAATCATGTCATTCGTATGATTGAATTTGTTGGAATGAGTGGAACTGTTTCTGTGATATCAGGTATTGCAAAATCTTCAGGAAATGATACTTTGAGATTGAATAGTCCTGTTGATGTTGCTGTCAATTCACAGAAGGAAGTTTTTATTCTTGATAGTGGAAATAATAGAATTAGAAAGTTGACACCTTATTGTAATTCGACATATTTCTATAATGTAACATTGAATGAGTGTATTCCTGTTTGTTTTGGAGTGGTTCAGGGTCAAGCAGATGTTTGTTCAGGTAGAGGATCTTGTTTTACACCTGACAATTGCACATGTTTTAATAATACTTTGTGGGGAGGAGAAAATTGTCAATTTCCAATGTGTAAGAACATTCTAGCAAGTAATTCATCTGTTTGTTCAGGAAGAGGAGCATGTATTGGCACAAATAATTGCACATGTCAAAATTCCTGGGGAGGTCAATATTGTGACATTCCAAAATGTGCAAACATTTTAGCAAATGGCAATGGAGTTTGTTCTGGAAGGGGTTCATGCATTGATGCAAATGTTTGTAATTGCACAAATCCACAACAGTATGGAGGACCTAATTGTGAATTTCCAAAATGTTCGAATATTTTAGCAAATAATAATCAAGTTTGCAATTCGAATGGTCAATGTATTGCTCCAAATAATTGTTCATGTGAAGATGGATATAGTGGAAGAGACTGTGAACAATATTCATGTTATGGAGTGTTAAAGAATTCTACACTTGTTTGTTCTGGAAAGGGAGTTTGCAGTTCATTGAATAATTGTACTTGTCAGACAGGATTTTATGGAACTAATTGTCAATACTATAATTGTTTTGGAGTAAGGAATGATCTGAAAAATGTTTGCTCCTCAGTTGGTAATTGTTCAAACGTTGACACTTGCAACTGTACCAAAAATTATTATGGACGTAATTGTGAAATTTATGATTGTTATGGAAAGGCTGTTAATTCATCCAATGTTTGTTCTTCCAGAGGTGTTTGCTCTTCAATTGATAACTGCACTTGTTCACAAGGATATTATGGTAAGGAATGCGAAAAGTTTGATTGCTTTGGTGTGAGTTCACTCAACTCAACTGTTTGTTCAAGTTCAGGAAATTGTACTCAGTTCAATAAGTGTGGATGTAAATCAGAATTTTATGGATCGAATTGTGAATTGTTTGATTGTTTTGGAAAGTCAAGATTGAATGCAAGTGTCTGTTCTTCTGTTGGTTCTTGTATTTCTCCAAATATTTGTTCTTGTCAATTAGGATACTCTGGATCAAATTGTGAGACATTCAATTGCTCTAGAGCTGGAAATCAGACAGTTTGTAAGAATGGAAATCAATGTTCTGCCACTACTGGACGTTGTTTGTGCTCATATGAATGGGGAGGAGATAAATGTGACAAGGTGAAATGTTATTCCATTACATTTGACAATGCCACTGTTTGTTCAGGTCATGGAGTTTGTTCAGGATACAATAATTGTACATGTAATAAGGATTATTATGGATTTGACTGTTCACTCATCAAATGCTATGGAATTCTTTCAAATAATGCAAGTGTGTGTTCAGGAAAAGGAATCTGTCTAAGAACAAATCAATGCAACTGTCAAAATGGATCTTCAGGCAATGAATGTCAATACAGTGAATGTTATGGAAAGATACAAACAGATCCAAATGTTTGTTCAAGTAAGGGTCAATGTGTTTCTCCAAATAATTGCAAATGTGCAAAGGATTATGTTGGAAAGGAGTGCGAATTAATTAGTGTTAATTTGGATATTGAAAATGCATTAATTTATTCATATTCTGATGTTCTGAATACCTATTTGAATGATTCTGTGATTGATGGCTGCGACAAGATAATTGAAAAGAATGAGATTGCTAAGCTTGGACAAGTTGAGTTGACCAAATGTCAATGGAGAAGAAATAATTTTAAACTCTTTTTGGGATATGAACACTCTATTACGAACGGTTCTATTATTAAGGCCCAGTTTGGTTTCTCAATTAGAGTTGACTTGTCAGAGACAGGTGCATCATTCCCAGCAATTATGGATTTACCTGAATTCATTCCATCATCCCAAGATTTAATAATTAGGTCAGTCATTCCCTCAACCTATCATCATTTCAAGAGAATATCTCAATACTGGACTTCACCAACCAGTTCTGTTAATTCATGGTTGAATAATTACTCAAACAAGACAGTAATTAGAATTCCTTACAGTTCAATTTTGACAGGTATTAACACATTTGATATTTCACTGAAAAGTTCAAATGATATGAATTCTATTTCTTCAATTTCAAAAACTATCAAGTTAGGTGAATCATCACTTCCTTCATTTAACATTTTGACTTCAAGAGAAGAGAATTGCGTTGGAAAGAATGATTGTTTATTTGAAATACAATCAATTAGTGTGAATAGTTCACTTTCGTTTGAATTATTTGGTGGTATTAGATCAGAATTATTGAATAAGCAGCTGTTTAGAATTATTACAAATAGTACATCATCATCCAATTTGAAAGTAACTTCTACTCAAACTAACACTCAATCAACAGTACAAATCAGTTATCCTTTTTCAATTCCAACCAAAATTCCGACAATTGATTTTAGATTAACAAATGTCAATAGAACTTATTCCTTGAGCTTGAACAAATTAACTATTGGCTTAGAAAGTGATGATTCATTTGTCAAGTCCTTATCACCTACTTCTTATTCTTGGTATTGTTACAGAACTAGTTCGGACAAGTCAACTATCATTGCACAAAATTTATGTAATGCTCAAAATTTAAATCAATTACAAGTAGATTTTAACAGTATGGGATTATCAGTAGGAATGTTTATGATTGGTGTTAATGTTACCATTTCAGAAAATGTTTACTCATACTTTGGTTTTATTGAACTTGTGAATTCAGATATTTCAGCACCGAAAATAACACCAGATTACATTCCAACTATTTATCCATCTGGCAGTTCTTTAAGTTTACATTGTATTGTTGAATCTGACAGTGCAGTTGTGGAATATGGATGGAAATTGGCTTCAGGAAAATTGAGAAATGCTATTCCAAGTCTTGGATCATTTACAAGTTTCAAACCTCTTATTGAAAACTCATTTGAAATTTATTTGAATATTGATTCAACATATTTGATAGAAGGAGAATGGTATGAATTTGAATTGACTGTTAAAAATTCAGTTGGATCATCAAAATTATCTCTTTCCACAAGAATTGATTTTAAACCAAGATTTACTTGTTCAGTTGACAATTTAAAGAATTCAGATAACACTGCTTATGAGAGTTTAATTGCAATTAATTGTATTAATCTCCCACAAGACAGAGTATCCTCTATTGTTATGGAAATAGACACTCCACAATATGAAAGGTTATTCATTATTTCGAATACTTTGAAAAAGACAATTGTAACCTCATTTCCATTTTATGATGGTAATTTAATATTAAGAGTCAAAATGGTGAATGAGTTTGGATCAATCAGTGAATTTACAAGGAATTTAACAATGAACTTACCAGAAAGAATTTCATGGTATTCCAATAATTTAGTTTCAAGAATTGATTATGTAAGAGATGAATTAACAATTCTAAAACAATCCAAGCCACTCACTATTGACACAATTAACTCACTGAATGCTTTGCTATCTTTGATTATTCAAAATGGTTCATTAACTCAAGTGAGTGAAAACATTCTTACTTTGAATGGTGGTACAATTAACAAATTTGTTTCACTGCTTGTTGACATGTTGGTAATGATGAAAGATATTCCTTCACTAACCTATCAAGTTGATGAAAAGGTTGTTCAATTAATTATTCCTTCACTTTCGAATATTTTCAAATTATTGAATAACGTTTCTAATATTTCAACAAGTTCAGAATTGGAATGGTGGTTAAATTGGATATTTACATCAATGAGCAATGCAGGACAATACTATTCTACAAGTATTTTCAAAACTCTTTTGGATTCAAATCATTTTGAGGAAATTGCTAATTTGAAAACTCTGCTTTCCAATATTTATTCTAATAACGCAACAAAGCAAAGTGAAATGGCAAGATATCATTTCGAATATTACAAACTTACCAGACAGTCATCATCTGATGGATCTATTTTCAGTCAAGTGTTACCTCTTGTAAATCAATTCAATTCCAAAACATTTGACATTTCTAAAAATGGAATCAATGTCAAAATATCATTCCCAAATGATTTTTCAACACAAATTCAAACTGTAGGGTACAATTCTATAATATTCTATGCATTAACCATGATTAATAATGATACTGACAATGGAAATATAATGAGTAATAGACCTTCTTTGGAATTATCCATTTTTAACAAGGATAGTAATTTGGTTAAGGTTGATAACTTGATTAATCCAATCATTTTCAAATTTGAAGGTTTATCAACAAGTAACAAAACCTCTATCAATGCATCATGTGTTTACCTTGACTCTTCCAATAATTGGTCTCAATCAGGAATCAAAACATTCCTTTCTATTACCAAACGAGTGGGTGATTTGATGTATTTTGATTTAGAATGTCAAGTATCTCATTTAAGTTTGTTCACCATCCAAGAGTTACCATATATTAATTCAATAATTATTCCACCAAATCCACCACCAACTAGCCAATCCAGTGATCTGAGACAAATTGATAATACTCAACAAGGCACAAATGATGGAGCAATAGCAGCAGCTGTTATTGTTCCGATTCTGGGTATTTTAATTATAGTTACCATTATCGTTATTGTTGTGTTGATTATTGTATGGATGATGAGAAAGAAAAAAGCAGCAGATTCTTCAACAAGTGTAGCTAATGTGAAAAGTGGAGATATTGAGCTATTCTATGATAACTTGCCATCCCAAGCCAAATATGTCAAACCAACAAGTGCATACAGTTTCAAATTAGACAGTGCCTATATTAGTGAGGTTTTCAATCCTCATTTGAGATATACCAATATTGCAAGAATAGGAAGTGGAAGAACATTTAAGGTAATTGATACAGTCAAAACATATCCAAAAACCATTAAGATTGTCAATTACAAATCAGAGGATGACTTGAACAAATTCCTAAAAGAAGCAGTGCATCTTATGAATACCAACAATCCTCATATCTCTAAAATTAATGAAATGTTTATTAGTACAGAAGATCCAAAGCTTTTTATTGATATGGATTACTTTGAAATGGGAGATTTCTCAAAGCTGACCAATAGAAATTTCAATCTATCAGAAAACTTAATCAAACAATTAATTTACCAATTATGTTTAGCCTTGGAATTTGCTCATTGTACCGAGAAAAGTATTCACGGCAACATCAAAACATCCAATTTACTGATCAAGAGTTTGACTACTGATGCTATTGAAAGTGTTATCACAGATTTTGGACTGAATTGTTTTGAGAATAATATTGATCCAATATTTGCATCTCCTGAAATGGTTTCTGGTTACAAATATTATTTCAACACTGACATATTCAGTTTAGGAGTAGTTTTATATCAAATAATGACAAAGGACGTTGTAACTTCAATTTCTGAACTGTATGGACATAAAGATCAGAAAGAGGTTGTTCAAGTATTGCGGAAAACACTTGGAGAAAGATATTCTGAACAAGTGATTGAGTTGGTATTGAGTATGCTTGAGAAGGATAATTTAACTAGACCACAAGCACAAGATATTCTTTCAAATCCAATGCTTTCAGAATTTAAAAAGAGAAAATAAAAAACGAATTGCAAGAAATACCTACTCAATCACAGTATCTCTAATAAGGTTTTTGAAGTCAAGTGACTAGTTGACCTTCATGTTTTGTAAACAAGTCATTCACCCATCAACCCAACTTGAACAAATCATTGAACCTGTCATCACACAATTATTATTTAACTCACATTCCGATGACTTGACAAAATTCACAAACAAAAAAAACAAATAATTAAACATGTCCTTCTGTGAAGACGTTCAAGCCCTCGTTGTTGACAACGGTTCTGGTATGTGTAAAGCTGGTTTTGCTGGTGATGATGCTCCAAGAGCTGTCTTCCCTTCAATTATTGGTAGACCAAAGCAAAAATCAATTATGGTTGGTATGGGTAACAAGGATGCCTATGTTGGTGATGAAGCTCAATCAAAGAGAGGTATCTTGACTTTGAAGTATCCAATTGAACACGGTATTGTTACCAATTGGGATGATATGAAAAGATCTGGCATCACC